AAAATATCTTCCATGAGTGATGACTTTCAAGGGTGGTTTTCCTGAGTAATCAGAGGCATTGTATTTTGTTTGCTTTTAGGTTCAAGACTGATTTTTAATAAATAAAAAAGTTACATGTATTGATATGCTAGTAAATGTTAACATCATGCATTCTGGATAAAAACATTGAAAGCCTTGATTTGACTTGATGTCAGACACAATAGATATAATCTCAAGAGCACTGTTGATAGTTAAATTAGGAAGTGATGAATTCTTACTATATATTATGTTTTGTTCTTAGCACAGTTTTATATTTATAAAATTTAATTTATATTAATGGTTATGTTTAATAACCAATCAGCAAAATTACTGAAATGTGACAATATCTCTATTCCCATTTCTTTCCTGCTTTATCCTTTTAAAATACGTAATATTATTTATAAGTATATTTTAAATTTATAAAAGCTACATTGTACTATAAATCTTGTTTTTTAGCTTTTCAAACGTTCATTATTGTGTTTTAAAGATCCATCCACTGCCTGGCGCAGTGGCTTACGCCTGCAATCCCAGCACACTGGGAGGCCAAGATGGGCAGATCACCTGAGGTCAGGAGTTGGAGGCAGCCTGGCCAACATGGTGAAATACAAAATACAAAAATTATCCAGGTGTGGTGGTGCCAGCCTGTAATCCCAGCTACCGGGAGGCTGAGGCAGGAGAATCACTTGAACCCAGGAGGCGAAAGTTGCAGTGAGCCAAGATCACGCCACTACATTCCAGCCAGGGCAACAACATTAAAACTCCATCTCAAAAAAATTAAAAAATCCATCCACATTGCTCTACATATACCCTTATCCATGTCTTTCACATACACACCCATGTTGTCCTCAATTCCCCACAATGCGGCAACAAACTTTCTTGTACTTCCTTATGACCTTAAGAATGTAAGAGAAAGTTCTCTGGTATACACTGATGAGGGAATATGATCAGCAGGGTTTTTTGTTTGTTTTTCTGTTTTTTGCTTTTTAACTTACCCCCACCTTTTTGTTGGCAGTCAGCAGCCACATCTGAAGTTATAGCTCTCTGTTTTAGACAAGGTTTATTCTTCCCTTTGTTACAACCTAGTCCCTATAGGGACCTGAATTTGTGACCCTAGTCTATGAGATTACTATTTAAATACAGTTTGGTTCAGGATTTATAAAAACCTAATAAGGCTGGACGTGGTGGCTCACACCTGTAATTTCAGCACTTTGGGAGGCTGGGATGGGCAGATTGCTTGAGTCCAGGAGTTTGAGACCAGCCTGGGCAACATGACAAAACCCCATCTCTACATAAAAATGCAAAAATATATATATCCAGGCAGGGTGGCATGCACCTGTAGTCCCAGCTACTCAGGAGGCTGAGGTGGGAGGATTGCCTAGGAAGTCAAGGCTGCAGTGAGCCGAGATCTTGACACTGCTCTCCAGCCTGGGTGACAGAGCGAGACCCTGTCTCAAAAGAAAAAATAAGCCTAATAAAATGATTGCACACCTGGAAAACCTACATAGGCTCCCTCAAGTACCATATATATATATATATATATATACACACACACACACACACACAGTCATTCATGGTGTGTAGTTCACATTGAAGTCAAGTTGGGGAAAAAGAAACTCATTTATCTCTTTCTCTTTTCCTTTATTCAAGTAGCCATTTTTATTTAATTTTATTCAATTCAGAAATATTTACTGAACTCCTCTTATTAGGAAGCACTGGATTGGATATAAAGAAAATACCATACAAGGCATAGAAGACTCAGTCCTGCCTTGCAAAGGGCATGTAGTCTTGACTGGAAAGACACACGCTGACAGGGTAGACTGTTTTAGGAATAAGGCTCAAAATCCTAAGGAAATTGAACACTCGAACAAAGGATTCTTAGCAAAGCAATTTTACTTCTGCACAGAGGGGTGCCTCCTTGGCCAGTTGCCATGAGAACACACCTGAACAAAGGGGCACGAGAGCCTTTATTCCTGATGCAAGTCCTGTACCCTTTCCCCATTGGCCGGGGTCAGGTCATACAATCTAAACTAATCCCGGTTGGCTAAACATTTGACTGTTTAAGATAGGGTGGGCACAAAAAACCAAGTGGAGAGGAAGGGGAAGGGGTATCTGTAATGAGCTAGAAAGTTAGTCCTCTTTCCAGATAAGTAAATGAATGTGAGCTGGTACTGATAACGCTTGGTACTGAGGCGTGCCTGGGCATCTAACAAAGGCAAAAAGGAAAAAGGAGAAAAAGTGGGGGGGGGGGTGTACTATGAATTAAAGAATAAAAGATTGATCAGATTATTTGAAGAGAAACCTCATATCCCACAACTGGAAGAAACAATTTGATGGAAAGTTTTTCTTCGTCGTTTACCAGCTCAAAATCTCAACTATCAAAGGCAAGAAAATAAACACACACACACACCTCTACACCTCTACCTTTTTCTGTATGGCCAAAGCCTTCAGTCCAGCAGACCACTTCCCACTCCAATTACCATGTTAGCCTCGCAACTCACATCTCTGCACCCTTCTGATAAAGCCTCCACAATGCGAAACACGAATCGTATCACATTGCTCTACTTCTCTAAACACTTCCATCTACTCTGTGGTTTTAGAAGAGAATCTGATAACCCCACATTACAAGGCCTTAATAAATTGCCTTATTGCAGCTCTGTATCATTACTTATAAACACTGTAGTCTAGATAGCCAGGACACACTACATTTTTTTTTTTTAAGGCTCAATACCTCTTGCCATTTTGCACGTGGTTTTCCTTCTGTCTGAAATGCCCTTTCTCCACCTGGCACTTGAATGGCCCCTTCTGAAAACTTCTTAGTTATCTTTCAAAATCAGTTCAAATGTTAGCTTTTGTGGGTAACCTATTGACCTCTCCAGGCTGAGTTACGCTGTTCCCCCAAGGTGTCTTGTTGAAATCATTATTTTTTCCTAAAATCTCTGTTCTAATTTACTTACATGCCTGTGAATGCTTAGAGGTTACTAACTTCAGTTTTGTGAACTTAGTAACTGGCACAAAGTCTGGCACTGAGTAGCACCTGAACAATTTTTTTTCTGGAATAAATTAATGGTTTCATTGAAATGATTAGCATTAAATTAATGATTAGCATTAAACTACAATGTGTGTATAAAACATTCCGGTTAGGTTGGGTTCATTGCCATTCCTATTTAAAGAGTTTGTAATTTCTGGCTCTTTTCCAACTCTGATTCTTCAGACTAGAAATGCAATTTCTGCTAATATATTTATTTTAAGCAAACCCAACATCAATAAAGTTATTTGTATTCCTTATAACATAAGCATAAGAATGTACAGTGATATAAAAATGCAGCTATTATCTCTTATAGGCACTGGTAAAGCTTTTGTGACTAGCGCTACTATACTGGCAAGGTATTGCTGCTTGTAATGAACTAAATATTTCAGTGGCTTAACACAATAGGAGTTTTTTTCTTGCTCACATGGCAACCCAGCATATGTTTTCCTAGTCAAGCAGCCTTCTTACATATGTTATTGCAGAAACCTAGGTCCTGTTCATCTTCTTCCTCTGCGTGCCATTCCCTTGGTAGCTTTTCTTTGCTAGGGTTTCGCAAGAGAATGAAATCCTGTTGAAAATGATCTGAGGGTCTGTTATGTTCTCAAGAATGGTACATAACTGGTCTGTGATAAATGCTCAGGTAACTGATTAGGTATTATAGATACTTAGGATTTTGTCATGAACACTCAGCATCAACATCACCTGGAAAATTGTTAAAAATGCAGATTATTGGGCTCCACCCAGTATCTACTAAATCCAGAACTCTGGGGCTGCTCTGCAGCAATTAGCAAGGCCTCCAGGTGATTCTGTTGATCCTAAAGTATGAGAACAACTGCTCTAGGGCATTAGGACTTAATTCTCTCCCCAGTAAGTTGTAAAGATTTGCTGTAGGACCTAAGAGTCTTCTGCTTCCAACAATGGAAAGGTAAAAAAGGTAGAAACCTCACTAAATTTTTCAAAGCCTCAGCCCCAAAATGACAAACACTTCTGCTCACATTCTACTGGCTATAACTTCTCGTATAGCTAGCTGAACCAGTGAGGTGGAACCAGCTCAGGACGGCCTACTGTTATATTGCCAGGCATTTTTTGAGGCACTTGATGTTATCTTCTTGGTAATTTAAATTTAACCGTGGTGGGAATATTTACACCACAGAAATTGGCAAACACTAAAAACAAGGTGTTTTTAAACACCCTGAGATCAGAGATCCAGTTGATATACATCTACCAGCACACCACTGGCCAAATACAGGCTTGGCTTATGCCACGAAGAGCTCTGCAGCTGAAATACCTCTTCAAACGTGTCCTGCTTTAAACCAAATTAGTCAGGCCTTTATACTTTCACATTGATCAGTCACTGAATGAGGGCTGCCGGGGAAAAGGCATGACCTTGGACAAGGCAGCTCTCTGCAGCTCAGGCAGTCCCTGAAGGGACTGACAGCTGAAGAATGTCTAGTGACATCATTTCCATCATCTAGAACAAGAGTCTTTCCTTGAAGGGGGGCTCTAAGTAGCATCTTCCCATATCCACTGCAGCCCCTCCCTTTAAGAGATTCTGATATAATTGACCAGGAGTGAGCCAGTACATTAGGATTTTTCTCAAGTTATCTGGATAATTTTAGTATGCAACCACAATAGATACTCTTCAAGAATTAAGCCAGTTGCTGAGAGGGAACTGTTTTTTGTTGGTTTGTTTTCATTAATGTTTGCACTCTACTTCCTTTTAATAAAATTATGCCTGGAGAGTTTATATGGAGCAATCAATAAATATTTGTAGGGTGGTTGGCTAAAATAATTATAATTCCTTTAAAAGAAATTCTACCCACTAAAGTTAATTTAGAAGTAAAATATAATAGAAATTCAATAATATATTCACCAAATGAATTAAGATGTTCATGAATTAAGTTATCTTCAGAGTGTTAATCGAATAAGTAATGTGTATGCTTTTCTATTAAAGAGGAAGTTAGAAGACCTGAGCTCTGAGTGGAAGGCGGTAAACCATTTACTTCAAGAGCTGAGGGCAAAGCAGCCTGACCTAGCTCCTGGACTGACCACTGTTGGAGCCTGTAAGTATACTGGATCCCATTCTCTTTGGCTTTAGCTATTTGTTCAAAAGCACAACTATGAAGTGATGTCTGGGTGAGAGAGAAAATTTGTTTCAATTCTGAAGATAGAGATAAAGCTTTGTGTTGTTGACTATGCAAAAAGTCTTAGAGTACATTCCTTGGAAATGGATTCTGATTCAAAATGTTGTATGACAATGAGATATGGGGAGTGTTCTCTGGAGATACACCCATAAGGAAGAGAAGAGTACCAGGGAGATTGTGGGAGAGTCTTAAACATGAGTTGGCTGCAACAGAGGCCTAAGCCAGTCTCACAGGAGCCCTACATCTGGGCTGGCTCTGCAGAGCTGTCCTGAATTACAGGCAGTGGGCCTGGACTTTGTACTTCTGATCCAGCCAGCCATTGGCCATGGGCTGGCTGCTGCCTGACAGTGGAAGGACAACTTGGACAAGTTTTCTGAGGCCGAAGGCAATTCTTAGTAAGAAACGCCTTTAACAACCAATATTCCTAGCATCCAAGGATGTGTGCATTGTCCCTGAAGAGAGATTCAGGGTGAACTGCCAGATTATCCACTAACACTACATGAAGATGCCATCTCAACAAATCCTATATCATTTAGACAATATTCTTCAAATATGGCTACAAGAATCATAGAAACCACAGAAACACACACAGTCCTACTAGCACCTCTCCCTGTCCCATTTGCAAACAATTTAAGAGCTCTTCCATTTTTAGTTCAAGTAAAAGAAAAATGGATTGTGAGGACCACAAGCTGACTTGGGGGAGGAATATTTCTTCGTTTAGCTGTAGTTTTAACTTTTGTTTTCACTGCATATTTTCAGTCTATTTTATTTTCCTTTCTATTCAGTTGTTGATAGAAGGTATTCATACATTCTCATGGCAATGTTAATGCTGGCTTTGACTCTCAGGGGAAAAAAGCCAGAAAACTTCTTTGCTGTACCATTCTATAATTAGGCAGAACTAAAAACATCTTTGGGTGTTTTTTTGTTTTGTTTTTTTGTTTTGTTTTGTTTTTTTTTTTGCCTTGTCTACTTTTCAAAGATCAAATGATTGAAGCATTAAAGCATGGTGACTGGTTCTTCAGGTAAAGTTGATTTTTATTTTATGTCAAGTAGAAAAATACTGAACTGGAAGAATCACAGCTGGGGTAGCACAATCATAATTCATTAGAAGGCATAGTGCTTGGATTAAAAGAAGCCCTACAATCTGAGGACAGTGCATCTCATGTGTCCCCTGGGATTTCTCAGAAGTCATCAGAGTTAGATTTAATGACTTTGGAGACTTGAAAAGATATGCGAGCATTATGGTTTTGTTTTGTTTTTTTTCTTTTTGTCAATCTGGGACACTAAAATTGCTATATCAGGGTTATATTCAACTAACTATGTCAGGTTTATTTCTTTTTATGAGCTCTAATTTTTGGTTCCCTCAGCGAATATGCATAGTTTGTTCCTATATTATCATTTATTGGTGTCTGTTTTCTGGCTGTCCCTGACATGTTCAGCCTCAGACTCAAACATAAACTCTATGAAGAGATTATGTTCCAATGATTCTTTATAAGTTTGTTAAACTCTGAACTTTGGGTTTATGTCCCATATAAGCCACTTTACACATGGTAGGAAGGCTCCAAAACCAGGGCACCGAAATTTATTTAACGTGTATTTTATCTAAATGTAACAATAATGTTTATAAGAAAAAGACATTCAAAGTTCCAGTTTTGATTTCCAGCAACATATATAATTCATCCACTTAATAAATATTTATTAACTTCCATGTGTTGAGCATCATACTGGTGCTGCGAGTACGGCATAGAATAAGTCCCTCCTTTCATAAAACATATATTGTAATATATGTTTTATGTAATATATGTAATAAGCTAATGAAGAAAATATATACTGTCTCAATAATTATAAGTACTGTAGAGTGTAGTCTACAGATTGATGTCAGTGGGTATTTGTTAGACATGTAGAATCTGAGGCCCCTATCCTAGACCCACTGAATCACAATCTGCATGTTAATAGAATCCCCAAGTGAATCCTGTGCACATTGACGTTTGAGAAACACCATTACAGAGAACAACTAAGCAGGGAGACATCATGAGGGTATTATTGTCTATCGTGTGGTCAGGGATGCTTGTCTATTAAGAGAACATCAGAAAACTGATGTAAGTGAGGAAGTGAGCCTGGTGTATTTCTGGGAAAATTATTACAGGCAGGGAAAGAAAAGACTGAGCAATGATACTGAAGTAGGAACAAGATGGCAGAATATTAAGGAGATCAGTAAAACTAGAGGAGCAGGTCAGGGGAAGTGTGATGGAAGCTGTGAGAGATATTCATCTTTCATAGCACTGCCCTACTTCCTTCTCCCCAATACGAGGGTCTCAACACCCCCTACCACTCTTGTCTTCTCCTACGCCCTCCACATTGCTGCCAGTGTGGAGAGTCTGGGAATACCCTCAGCTCAAAGCTATTGGTGACAGCTGGCAGAGTTGTGGTAGTAGCTAAAAAAGAATTAAGAGAAAGAGGAATTTTTCTCAAAAGCAGGTGCTTTTCATCCTCTTTAGCACACTGAAACAGATCTGGGCATAAAGTCAAGATGTTAAATACACAAATGTTGAATGAAAAAAATCAACAGGTAGTCATTTAGATCCAGAGCCGCTTTTATTAAAATAAGGCTTTTCTTTTTTCTTTACTGTGGTGGTTCAAATATCGAAATAAAGAATTGTTTCTATTCCTGACTTCCTGACTTGCAGGAAGTTAATCAGATATAAATGCAATATAAAAAAAGAAAATCTAATTGTATTATGCTTCTTGTGTATGTTTATTATTTCATGTACTATATTACAATAGAATAGAATTTATAATTCATTATAGTAAAATTTTTTCATTGCATTCCTACTATTGAATGTGTAGAAGCTACACATATATGTGTAGCTTTAACATATATGTCTTTATCCTGAAAATAATTTCAAAGAACATATGGTTATAGATAATTTTTAAAGATTAAGGACCCTAAAGTTTAGAGGGGAAATAGCTAGATTAAGGCCACACAGCTGGAAAGCAAGCAAGCAAGGGTTTCAGTCCACTTGTGTCAAGCTCCAAAGCCTGTGTTTTGTTTTGTTGCTATGCTTTACACTATCTCTCTGTCCAAGAACCTAATGGAAAATTACAGATACGGATGCAGCTGGCCAGCAGTTAATATAATTTAACTCAATCTTAAACATATCTGGAGTAAAAGTGATATATGTTTCCGTGTCCTCTCCTCTCCCCTCTCTCCACTCCCCTTCCCTCCCCTCCCCTCCCCTCCCCTCCTCTCCCCTCCCCTCCTCTCCCCTCCCCTCCCCTCCCCTTCTCTCTCCTTTCCTGTCCTTTCCCTGTGCCTGTGTGAGAGAGAGAGAGAGATTGAATTGTGCTTTGTTGCCCAGGCTAGAGTGTAGTGGTGTGATCTCAGTTCACTGCAACCTCTGCCTTTCAGGTTCTAGTGATTCTCCTGTCTCAGCCTCCCAAGTAGCTGGGATACAGGTGCACCCCACTACACCCAGCTAATTTTAGTATTTTTGGTAGAGATGGGGTTTCTCCATGTTGATCAGGCTGGTCTTAAACTCCTGACCTCAAGTGATTCACCTGCCTTAGCCTCTCAAAATGCTGGGATTACAGGCATGAGCCACCATGCCTGGCCTGTTTCTGTGTTTTTTCTACTTAAGAAGTAGAAAAAATTGGTTCACTCTATTTGAATTTCTTAGAACCATAGAAATCCAAACTTGGAATAATTACTGCAATTATTATCTAGTTGAATATTCTCGTTTTATAGATGTAGAAGCTGAGGCCTAAAGTTGCTTGTTTTGTTTTATGAACACTAAACCAAACTACCTTGTGGCTGCTTACTTAAATTATAAATTATAATGGGGTGGCCTTGCCTGAACAGTATAAATTGTTTTAATTTTCAGGACAAATCAACATGCTGGGAAAAAAAAACAAAACAAAAAAAAAAAAAAAACTTGCAATTCTTGTTGCTTGGATACCTGTCCATATCAGTTTCTATTGTTGCATAAAAGCACCCCAAAACTTAACAGTTTAAAATAAGAGTTATTTATTGCTCATAATTCTGTGCATCTGAAGTTTGCTCTGTGATTAGCTGAATAGTTATTCTGATGGTCTTGCTTGGTGTTATTTATGTGGATGCAGTTATCTAGCAAGTGAACAGGAGCTAGATGGTCTAAAATGGACTCTCTCAGATATCTGACAGCTGGCTGTTGGTTGGAGAACCTTGGTTCTTCATAAAGCCACTCATCATCCTGTAGGCTAGACTAGGCTTCATTACATGCTATTCTCAGGGCAGTGTTCCAAGAGAGGGAGAGTGGTAGCTACAAGATCTCCTGATGCCTAGGTTTTGAAACTTGTACATTACTTCTGTTAAGTTCTATTGGTCAAAGCATGTCAAAAGATCAGCCCAAATTCGAGAGATAGGGAAATTACTTCATCTCTTGAAAGGAGGAGCTGCCACGTCACATGTCAAAGGGGTGTGCATGTTGGGATGGAAGGTTTTATTGTCACCATATTTATACACAAATCACTACATTGGGGAAAAGGGGGGAAACTTGAGATCAAAAGTGTTGGTCTGAATCCAATGCTCTATTTCAGTGATTCTCAAAAATTACCATGTGTTACAACCACCCAGTTCTTAGCGAAGTATAGATTACTGGGCTTCAACCCCAGAGTTTCTGATTTACTAGCTCTGGGGTAAGACTTGCATCTCTCTCTCTCTCTCTTTCTCTCTCTCTCTCTCTCTCTCTCTTTTTTTTTTTTTTTTTTTTTTTTGTGACTGAGTCTTGCTCTGTCACCCAGGCTGGTGTGCAGTGGTGCAATCTCGGCTCACAGCAACCTCTGCCTCCTGGGTTGAAGCGATTCTCCTGCCTCAGCCTCCTGAGTAGCTAGGATTACAGGCACCCGCCAACACGCCCGGCTACTTTTTGTATTTTTAGTAG